ATAGGATATTACTATTATGATTGCTTCGTATTATCTAAAGAATATTATATGGAAGAACAATAAATTTTAATTTTTTTCAGGAATGTTAGAATCACCGCTATAGTTTATATAGATGATATGAATCGATAGTTTAACGACGTATTAAGTTTTAGATCAATTATGCAAAATATTGTAAAAATCAGTAAATAGTAATAAGAAAAATGAATCGGAAAAAATCCGACTTTTTAAGAATTACAATCCAAAGCTATGCGCGAATCGGATCGGGTTGCAGAACTCCACTCCCATTTTTTGACTATACAAATATATGCATGGGTTATACAAAGTTTGAGGAGAATGAAACGACTAGATCAAAAGTTAAGGCTATTTGAATGTTAATGAAATGCCGATGGTAGGAAATCCGGATAGATTTCATCTATGGTTATAATCAATGGATACATCGCCTAGTAAGAGAAGTTAGTGGGGACCAGCATTTTATGAATTGGGTCTTTTGTAAATAACATAGCTATTTATTTAGAGTGGACTCTCATGTTTACACGTTGCAGCAACTATGGATCATGCTGATACAGTTCGAATCTTATGTGAACATGGTGTAAATCTGGATCAACAATTTCATTACGAAGGACAAGATGTAACTGCATATGATTTAGCTGAATCTCAGCAGTATAATGATGTATGTCAAGTACTCAAAAATTTTAATGCAAGACAACGACCTGAGAGTACATTAACACGTGATCTAGAAATTAATGAATAATCCTATTCTATTACTGTATACCTAAAATAATATTCCGTTGTTCGTACTATATTTATTCTGTGTTTCTCTATTTGCGATCGATAGTCGCTCTCTTTTCATTGAGTTTATTTTTCTCCTCGTTTTGTGCACTCATTCGATATGTGTTTAAGTGATCGTGGGTATGGATAATCTCTTTGCTAACACACAGACATAATCAGATCTGTGTCGATATTGATATCACCTGTTGCTGACCTTCCTTTTCTCTTTATTCTCTCTCATTTTGGCTCTCTCCTGTATAAAAGTGTGTTGTATGTGAAGTAAGAACATCCTAAATATATGAAGTAGCTAAATAAACATTATTACTAAGGGTGACACTGTGAAAAGAGAAGACAATCCATGGGACGAAGATGAATTGTCTTCTTGTGCGTTCAATATATTTGAATAGTTGTCAAATTCTATTAAATGAAATTGATAATTTTGACACCTTCTTCAAGTCAAAATAAAATGTAGAAAGTAAAGAAAAATGGAAATTTTCATAAATAGATCAATTATTTAAACAAACATAAAAACAATAAAACTAAATATTAAATTGATGCTATCGAACGACTTTTGAAAAAAATTCAAAGGAAGAAGATATGTGCATCTGTTTATTTGTAGAAGTTCCTTTTGTTTCATGGTCTATAATTTATATCATAGTTTATTCTGCAAAGATTTCAATGTTTAAAGAATAAAACGAAAAAAAAATGATTTGCCTCGATTGATTTCGAAAATGAATTTTAGAATTGATCAAATCTTCTTTGGAGTTGATCTGAGTTTTGTTAGTGGTTTACTTTTTCAAGTCGACACCTAATTTAAGAGAAATTCTTCTCCTGTAATTCAATCGTTTTTGTTTGAATAAATTTCATTTCGACAGTAAATATATCTTATGCGACTAAATGTTATTAAATAGTTTTTTCTTGCAATAAAACAATCAATTTATTTGAGAAACATTAAAAAACAAATGCAAGATTTTTAACAGCTGAACTACAGTAGAAAATCCATCGAAGAATCCATAGTGAAAGATATAGTTTAAAATTGATTTGAAAAGTGACTTTAAGCGAATTTATTGATAATTTTTCAATACTTTTGTTGTTTTGACAAAATATTTACGAGTTGACAGTTTCAATCCAAGTTTTTCATGGAAATGAATAATTGATTATCACAAGATCAAATTGGTTGATTTTATTCACATATGATCTGTCTATTACAGTCTCTGGAATGAGTCACAAAATTTATTTTCTTTTCTTTTTATAAGCGTTTTAAAATAATATATATCTGAATAGAAGCAGAAGAATGTCTTTATAAGAAAGAGAAAAAACAAAGATATTGTAAAAATTGAAATGACTTCATTAAACCATTTAACTTGTAGAATAAAGACATGAAGTTCCAGAGATCTCTTCCATATTCTTTTCGTTCAAGCGTGAGATGTGTAATAAGATGTATGTATAGGCATAATGATTTGTAGGAGCCAGAAGATTTTGTTTAACCCATTTTCATATGTAACAATTTGCATTTTCTCCATATCACGAACGATGATTTTGACAATATTGATTTCGTAAAATGAGAAGAGCAATGTACTTCTCAAGAATGCAGATTTACACATATGAAGATGCATAGATTATAATTCAGATACGACTGATAAATAAAAACGAAATAAATCAGCAGCTAATCATTACTACACAATTCAATAGGATTTAGATCATCCCTGAATTTATTAAGCTCTCAATGAAACAGTTGATCTTGACAGGCGAAATAAATTTAAGTCTTCATTTCTGAGTCTAAAATTAGTATTCAGTGCTCCATGGAAGCTACCATGGGTTTAATCAATTATTTGACATAGTATTCGAGTTAAATCATGCTCAGATTGCAAAGACAATGATTATGTCAGAAGGAAATTTATCAAAATTTCTTAAATCAATTTAAAAACCTTTACATATTATTTACTTACGGAAAGTGACACGACCTCATTGGTTACTCGAATCACTGTTCAATACTGATAATCCTTTGCCTGACACCAGTGTAAAGGGTGTGGGTGTGACTGAGGTGTGGTTGTGAATGTTCTTTGCGTGGACACACACACCCACATCCACACCCACGCCCTCAATATAACATTATTCTAACACTGGAAATAAAACTAGTATTCCTGATCAGCCTGGATTTTACGTTTGAAGTCATATCAGAACTGGATTTCAAGTTTTTTCAAACAAGTCAATTTTCTCAGTCGTTCAATTTTCTCTAATGTAGTTACGGTGTGGATGTGTGTGTACTACTTAGAAAAGTAATACGAAAGAAATTGGAAAGTTGAATATCTGCAATAAGATTTTTGAATTAAGAAATTAATACAACTACCATGACAAAGAATCAATTGAGAAGTCTTTTAACCAAGTATATTTACATTATAAAGTCACTGAAATTTCGAAGAAATAATTTTCTTTAATATTCGATAGTTTTAGGAGTGCTAAAACATTTCATTTAGAATTAATACTAGAATTTGGGCTAAATAGTAGTGATATAAATGAAATGTTACTTAAGAAAAGAAAAAGAAAGCATGCCAATATTTTCTGAAATATGAGAAGATCAACTCATTCCATTGAATTGAAACTCATTCAATACAAAATTGATAATAGAGCAGACGAAAGATTGGAAGATGTTATTAAAACCTAATCGAAAAGATATTTAATGACGCTGATATCTTAGGTGCGAGTACTCCCTACTCAACAATTGTCACACATACAGTATGATTAAATCTGTATCATCGAATCCTAGTTTTCTTCTTTTTCATCACTAGTTGCATATAATATTTTTCTCTTTTACATCGGTTGAAAATACGACTGCTTCTCAATCATTTCTCGGAATGGTGGTCGTGCGTGTCCATTTCTCGAAATAAATATGCTTTCATAATGCGCAATTATTGATAAATGTATACTTATGAGTCGTGCAGTATATCTTGCGTGTCTATGTTGCTGTTGCTTTTAGTTCTTTTTCTTTCTCATTCTTCTCTCGTCAAAAAATACTCGCGCAATTCACCGTTATCACGCAAAACATAATCTAGAAGAAATAGTGTGAGTCATTGAGAAGCAATTTATTTATGCTCTCTTACAAGAATGACGTATTTCGCGTCTTATAAAAAGCCTTCAATCAACCTTCAATTGTTATTTTATTTTAAATAAATTGCAAACAATAAAATGCCCTTACTAACCTCTGCCCATGACGGGCCATTGAAAACAGATGCTCACAAGCAAACAAACGCACGTCGAAAATCTGACATAGAGGAACATGCTAGTGCTGACACGGAAGTAAAAATTACTCATCCAGGTACAACTTCTTGATTAGATAGAGAATCTAGACTATAGGAACTCCTGTCTGCACAGGTCACTTCTTGAAAAGTAATAGTGATTATATACAGATTTTTTAAATTTTCATTTCTTATATGCTTGAAAACGAAAATTAAAGAGATTCGTTCGCAGCGTACATATATTCAACGAACCACATCGATTATTTGGATCCTTGTGGACTTATACTACACGCTTTTAGTGTATCATATTCTCACATGAGATTTACATTAGAAATCTATTAGAGATCATTTAGAAAAGCTTGTCAATGTGACTTATTGGAAACTAAAATGTGGAGCTCACATAGAGTCTTTAGTCTCGTTAAACTAATACATAATAGGCGAATCGGAAAATGCTTCATAGACTATAGTCCCATTCAAAGATAGTCGATCAACAGAGTGAATATATGTCTTATTCTTTCATTTTTAACAGATTTTTCTCCTCTTTTTTTCTTGTACAGACGCTCTAGTTTTTATTTGACTTATTGCTTTTTGTTCGTCAGTCTTTATTTTCGTAACACTTATGGTTTTCTTTCATAAATATATGTGAGTTTCATAAACACTTTCAAATGAATATTGTTTTAATGTTGATTTTGAAATAACTCACATCTCGACAAAGTTTGAATAAGTAAAAAGGTTATTTGGAGATCGTGCTAATCTATTTCCTCTCAAGTAGCAAGCAGAATACGAATTCAATACTTTTTCATAGTTTGAGAAAATAACAAATCCTTAGTTGATGATCCAAGCATAATATATCTATTCTTCTATATAGAAACGAATGATGATAATGCACACGATCCAACTGAGTCTTCTGAGGCTACGACTAAAAAGAACATTCATTCTACTTCTAAAACGCATACCTATACGAATCCTCACAGTAAACCACCAACGCATTACAATATGAATACACATGCCAAAGCAATTTCTCGAAGTCCGCGGCATAAATCTGATGCTCATGAATCCCAACAAGATACCCAACGCCGAAATTCCAATACTCATGAACATGCAAAGACACATACCAAAGCTACTTCTGGAAGTCCACGACGTAAATCTGATGCTCATGAATCCCAACAGGATACCCAACGCCAAAATTCCAATACTCATAAACATTCACAGATACATGCCAAAGCTACTTCTGGAAGTCCACGACGTAAATCTGATGCTCATGAATCCCAACAAAACAGCCAGCGCCGAAATTCCAATACTCATGAACATGCGAACACGCAGAAAAAAGCTGCTGCACACAGTCCACGTCGTAATTCCAATGCTCATGAATCAAAGAACGGCACTCATAATCATGCAAACACGCACAGAAAAGCTGCTGCGCATAGTCCAGGACGAAAATCTGATGCTCAGAAACTCCAAACCGATCATCATGATCATTTGACTACACACGAAAAACCAATAACACAGGACAACGTAGCTACAGATAGTAATGTAGGCACACTCCATCAGTCAGATACTCACCAGCCAGAAAATAGCACATGTGATGAAGCAAAGCCCGAAATAACTGGATTCAATGAAACTGAACCGCGTAATGCTGAACACGCAGGTATGTTTATCTAAATTCCCAAACGTATATTCTTGTTTTTCACTGTAAAAGATTGAACATTAATATATGCCTCATTTGCGATAGTCTCATTCTAAAGCGACAAATGAGCCTTATTATTACTTCTGTTACCTGACAATCATCAAGTTTCTTTTCTCTGGAGAACTTCACAATATTGATCAGTTAACATAGCAAGATTATATACAGGGCTTGTCAGAATTATAGACCC